TCAAAAACATCCGTGCCCCATGCAGGCACTGTTTATTTACCTTTTGTCAGTGTTTTCTGGCCCAATGCAGGCGCAGAGAAGAAGAAAACAAGAGCATCAGGACACCTTTCCACGGTCCCCCTTGGCGGCGTCTTGACAACGTGGATCCCAGGCACGAATGAGATGTTTGGCTCTGGAAGCACTATATCTGGGATTTTCGACAGGCCATCAGCAATGTAAACTCTGGCCACCCGGTGACTGGACCAGCGGCCCTTCAACAAAGCAAGTTCCATCGAACCTGTACTCTGGAGGAGCCATGTGGCCCCTCCGCGCCTCAAGCTATAAGGGCGGAAGCCCAGCGAGGTGATTTTGAAGCGATGTAAGTACGAGTCAAAGTGCGTTCTGAATGCCTGTGGGGAATATGACCACAACTTTGCTTGGGAAACTCCATTGCTGTCCATCACATCTTTGACGGTCTGCGCCACAAGAAGAGTGAACTCGTTGTCCGTCGTGACCATTTCATCAGCGGCGTTGCGCTGACCGGTCTTGGTATGCTTCAATGAGATCACTAGCTGCCGCGAGTTGACGAGGATGTCTGAAGCACGAACGTTCAAAAGTTCGCCTGTTCTCAACAATGTGAAAAATCCCAAGCACAACAGGCAACAGAAGAACAAATCATCATGGCAAAGTGCATAGTAGGCCATGGAAAGAACAATGTCTCTCGTGAGAGGTGGCGCACGAGCTGGCCACTCAACCTTGCGCCAGGTAGCGAAAAGTCGCCACGCGCTGGGAATCCTACGCTTTGTAAGTGGTTCGAAGAAGTGCAAACCCGACAAGGCATTGCCAACTGTGTAAAGCGACTCCCCATCTTCCCAACAAAGCTCAACCCATTCGGCGACAGCTGAATCCAACTCGGCTTCATTGCGGATGTGTTCAATGAACGGCAACAAGAGACTCAGCGCCCATACATATGCTGCACGAGTCTTTAAGCTAATTCCAGCATCTCTCAAACTCAACCCCCGGCGTTCGCGTCGGCGTTCTCGCCGGGTACGCCGATGAACTACTTTAGCGGCGACTCTCACCATCGGTGGGGTTCTCGCTACTCTCAACGTGTGCAAGAACTAAGTAGATTCCATAGAGAAACAGGTGGGCGTTGAGAACTTTAAGGAGTCGATTGAGCATTCGGCTGCTAGACCTACCCTTTGAGATGACACTGATGGAGACGTAAGAGTCACTTAAGTGAAAGATGCGGCGATGCATCCATCGTTCGGAACGAATGCCTCTCAACACACTGAGGAGAATGGCTTTCAACTCGAGCTGATTAATATGTTGCGGTTGCGGCCACACAACATGAAAGCCTTTCTGCCAGTGCCACCACTGGGCACAAATGGATTGCCGTGGAAACGCACGCGGGTTGACCAGGTCGCCACTAACTATTCGAACGTCGCTTCCCGTGAAATTTGTTCGACTTAACAGCAACCGATTAAGGTCTTCAACCTGGAAAGGACCTTGACTCCTCGCAACTTGTTGACATCCGTACTGTAGCTTAAGTGCAAGAGGAGCTTGAAGTCTAAAGCTAGCTCTAAACCCTGGTGCAATGCCCATCCTCTGACATAAATGCCTGTAATCAACTTTTGGAAGGAAGTCCTTGCACAGTGCGCTTCCAAAAATAACAAACGAAAAGATGCTGAAAGCATCACCCAGGAGTGAGCACTTTTCACGTTCGAAACCAGGTCGGTCTGTCTTGATCTTGCTAGCAGCCCACGCAACCTCACAATGTTGATGACCATACCCCATCAAAACACACCTCTCGTCGCTATTGATTAGTCGCCATTTGTCATTTTTCCAAACAAGGAATTCTTCTCGAAATTGGTAAGGAGGGTAAATATACCCACTGAGGGCCCATCGTGCTTGGCAGTCCTGATCGGCTCTGTGCAACCCGGCAGGTTTGACAGGGGGGTTTTCCTTCCAGACTGCTCGCATACATGTGGGGAAAGCTCCCGCTTGGAATTGCCCTGGCCAAGAGTAACCTGGGGTAAGCCACTGACCAACTTCGGGATAAGGACAAGGTGCCGAAATGGTGGTCCATCTACGATCCGGAACAAAGTCAAGTCCCTCTAAACAACCCTCAACAACCTCTGTAGTCCAACACAACCGTGGGCGACGAAGGGGGACTGAGTCAACTGAATCCACAAAGTAAGGCTGACATTGCATCCACTCCGATATCTCCTGAGAGGCACTCTCATCCATCGATGCGACATTCTCTGCCACCACTTTGACTTTCACGCGAGCCGGGAACTCTTCTGCAACTAGATTCCATATCCTGATGAATTCAAAGAAAAGCCCGCTTTCACTGCCTTGCAAGTTCATGCGTCCGGCCCGGGCCGAACTTAGATCTCGACACGGAAAGCCTCCCCAAATGTGGACTTCGTCTACGGTGTAGAAGTCACGGGCCCATTCTTGCACATCACTTCTTGCGATAGCCCGAACATCCCTCAGGATCTTGGCACTTGGCCACCTTCGACTCACCACTCTGTTTGCTGGCGCATGGATGTCGACTGCAATGCAACCCCTCGGTATGATGTCTAAGATGTCGTAGATGCGAAAGGTGCCCCCAATCCCAGAAAAGAGTCCAACCACAAGGATGGGACTCGTTCCCAGGGTTCGTGAAGAAATCCTACTGGACATCACGAAGTCCATCCCTTCTGGGGTCAACTCTGAGGCATAGCCCACAGCACCCCCTCTCTCAGAGGCATCACTGCACCAAATCTTCTTGTCAATGTCTGCATTTAGACAGGTGTGAAGTAGGGGGATCGCTCCCATCACAAGGAAGAACTCTCTCTTGGTCTGAAGGGCTAACGTGTTATCAGTTCCTTCTTTGTTGATAAAGTTCCAACATTTGTCGAGGAAACTCATACCAGGACGCCTGAACTGAATCACGTGAACCCATCGACCAGCAACTACCTGAACTGTCTTCTTTTTGAGGGGTTTTTGCGCAAGAAGCCAAAGGGAGGATTGAACCAGTTTGCAAAATCTCTTCGGCGACCCTCCCAGAACTCCTAGGTCTCCATGCAAAAGGGCTCCTAACTCCTCAGCTTCATTGGTATTGGACACCCGCTTCTTCTCAGCTGAAAGGATGCCATGGGATTTCCAAGTTGCTTCCACTGTTTCATGGAGTTGGTCACCAATCGACGAACTCTCACCTTGGATTCTTTTGTCACCCCCCATAAAATTGTCAAGGTACACTTGCCAGAAAGACCGCCCTTCAGCACAACAACGGCGGGCTGCCTGAAGCAAGGACTGAGGCACAGGTTGTCCTCTGCGGACCTGGTTGCATTGAGCTAAACCCGCTCTCCATAACACCGTCTCACTAACCTCCTGCATGAGTGAGACTGATGAATGAAATCCCATGGGGAGGACCCGACATGAGAGAAAGTAAGAGCAGGAAGGATCCAAACCTAGTGCCTCACCTCGTCGACAAACGTCAAAGCATAGAAAGGGCATCCAACACTCTGGAAGTTCAAAAAGGTAGAAAGCTGAGGAAATGTCAGATTGGTAGAACCGAAAGCATTCATCCGTCTCCAATACTGCGGCTTGCCAACTTGTGATGGCTGGAAGCCCTTCTACTGCTCCTCTTATTTGTGTCAACACGCTGTTCGAAGGTTTGAGGTTCATTATCACTCTCAAGGTGTGTCGGCCGTCCGGAAGTGTTGCAGGTTTCTTCACTCCAAACAGTCCGTTTAGAACTGGTACGCCCCTAACCGAAATGACCTCTGAAGCCTTGACCCAGCCGCAAACTCCTCTCCTAACCAACTCATCGCAAATCTTGTCTTGTTCCCCTTTAGCAAAATGAACGGAAGCAGGTACTTTTGGTCGTGGTTGATCAAAATCAGCTTTCAACAGCTTATGGGGTGAACTCAAAACCTCCTGTGTTGCAACCGACACCAAATCCATCAACTTGATCGAACCGCCATGCCCCATTGGAGGCAGGGCTGGTAGGATCTGTTCAAGGGTTAACAACTCACACGTTCCTGTTTCTTCACCTGTATAATCTAGTTTAGCAGCAGCCAACTCCTGTCCCACTTTTTCAAACGGTGACACGGCTTCTTCGCTGCAGGCCAAAAGTCTTTCGACAGCCCGCATGCCAGCCTCTGCACCTCTTCGTTCCAGCGCTGTCCACTTGCCCGGCGCCAGCGGCCGAGCTGGGCCAGCCAGGCCGCTACAGGCGTGGAGCGCCAGGAAAAGCCAAGCCTTTCGGGCCCACCTTGCGGAGAAATCCTCACTGGCCACCTCCAAAAGCGTTCAGCGGCCAAGCTCTAAAAACACATCCTCTAGATCTCCTCGCCTCATTGGGAATGAGACAGCTCTCACAGGCTTCTCATGACCAGCTGCGGATGACTCAAAAAGGACTGTAGCAAGCCACCGCCACGGGCCACGCTCTCCTCTCAACATGCATTGCACAACCATCCACGCCAGGAGTGTTCCAGCGTTCTTGAGATTTGTAACACTGCCACCAATCCTCTCGCAGATGTGTTGACCTGAGTGAAACTCATCTACCCTCTCGGTAGCCTCAAGCTCAGCCTCTAAGCTCGTGGTGCCTTCAAAGTCAATGCTTATGCGCGACTGAGCCCTCTCCTCAACAACACTCCTCTCTTCAAAGCTAGGCGCCTTGCCCCCCATCTCCCCTAGGGGACTTACAGTCGCCCTCAACCTCTTCAATCCTTCTCCTTCTCTTTGTCCTGAGACTCCTTCCACTTGTTCTTTCCTTTTCCTTCCTTGTCCTGCCATGGCGTCCTCTCCTTGTATTTGGATCCTTTCTTTCCTTTGCCTTTGCTCTTCTCTCCTTGCCAACTTCCTCCTCCTTTGTAACTGTTGGACCAACCTTTGTGCCAGCCCTTTTGTGGATACCAGGCGTCTGGCGTCTCGACCTTGAAGCTCGCCTTGGCATGCTTTCGCGCCTCGAGCAACACTGCTGCCGACGTTGCATTGGCCTCCTCGCCTTGTGCCACCTCTAAATACTTGGCCTGGGACCAAGATTGATCCAGAAGGGCTTGATGCGCTGCTAGGAAGTGTCCCGACAGGAGGTCCGCCGTGCGAGCTATGTTTCCTGATCGTAGTGTGTCGATGGCCTGCGCCATCAACCACAAGTCGCGCATGGCCGCCTTTTGGTGCGAGTGCTGAGGACGAATGTGGAGTTGATAGTATGTGCATATCTTCACCCCATCTGTTATCGAACTGCTGGCTCCTCGGTTCACTTCGACCAATGAACTCTGGTCCAAAGCCTCCTGGGCTTTCTGTACGAGGATGCGGAGCACCGATCCGGGGCTGGCTTTTGAGCGGCGGCGTAACGGCGCTTCGAAGTCTTCGCCGTTGTCGGACTCCCCATAGCTGGAGCTGCTTTCCGAGCTGCCGTCGCTGTCTGGGGAGCTGACTATGACCCCGTTGACTAGCCTTCTCTTCTTTCTCTCCTTTTTGTCTCGCCCCTTTTTCTTCTTCTTCTTCTTCTTCTTTCTGGAGCGCCCTCTCTTCTCCTCGTCTTTCGAACCATCTCTGCGGTCTCGCCCCCGGTCTCGACGATCTCCTGAGGCCAGGTTCAACAAGGTCAGAAGCTCTTCCCTGTCTCCACCCCCTCCTTGCTTCTTCGACTCCTCCTTCTGCGTGGTCCCACTCTCCTTCTTGTTGCGGCCTCCTGCTAGCTCCTGGGCTCGTTGAATCAACTGGCTCGAGACGTCTTTCGAAGTAGAACCTTTTGTATCCTCGAGGCTCCTCCGTCTCCGAAGCGTCGCCCCGCTCGACAAGCCCCTCATCTCCTCCGCAAAGCCTGAACCTGCAGCAACTCCCTGCGCGGGATCCTCGTGCTCTTCCTCCTCTTCTCGGCTCCTCAAATCTGCGATCGACGGTCGCGCTGCTCCTCCAAGCTTCTCTCTCACCTGATCTAAACGGCGTCTCAACTCCTCGGTCGACATCGATTCTCGATCGGCGGAAGTCCCAAGTTGCAAATCCTCTGCAAGCTCTCTCCTCCCAGCGCCAGAACCTGAAGGTGGCGCCCGGGCAGGACCTACAACTTCTTGACCTGCCTCTCCTCCCTCTTGAAACGACACGCCCTTTCCTCGTCTCCTGGCAGCAGGCGACCCCCGAGCGCAGCGCCCCAGGGCGCAGCGCGCTCTGGGAGGTCTTGGCACGCTTCCCCCCAACGTCTGCCTTCTCTGTAGCTGGAGGGGGGTCTTCTCTCCCCTGGCTCACCTCTTCTCCACACAGACACGTTGAAGACGCCTCCAGAGCTTTTCCTCGACTCCGAAGGCCCGGAAGGACCCTCTTCTCTCTCCTCCTCGGCAAGGCCACCAGCTGCTGGTCCATCTAGCCACTTGCCAACCTGCCGACGGTGGGCGGCAGTGTAGTAGGATGCGTTGAAATTGCCTCGGGTGTAGACCTTCAGCCGAACGACATGCAGAAACCCTTCTTCGGCTTCCGTGCAAGGGCGACTTATGCACAAATGCAAATGTCCTTCTCTCCGATTGAACTGTGCTGAAAGTGACCGACTGATGGTATGATCTGTGGTCCCCACGAAGTGAGCAAGAAGGGCGATGCCCCCTTCTCTGGTAACGCTTCGGCTCATCACGACAAAGCCTGCCAACGCTTCCGACACAGGCTCCCAGTCCGTGTCCTTCAAACACAGTTCCACGAAATCTCCTTTGGCAAAATTGAGCAACGTCCATCTTTCTGTATCCTCAATGTGAAATTCCTCACCCTCCTTCCAGTTAGGAAAAATATCCTTTAGCGTGGACATGGTGGTGGACGAGGAAGATCCGGAAAGTCTTCTCTGAGGCGTTTGAGCTCAGACACTCCTCGACGCTTGTGGATTCGGATCGATGGGTCGTGTCTCCTCCGATGTGATTGCTGATGTTTGCGACCACCTCGCCTGCCTCTATGCCTATCCTTCTCTCCTCTCTCGCTCCTCCGAGTCTTCTGCTTTGAACTCCTTGCTGGCTCTCCTTTCGAACCTCTGGCTTTTTCCTTCCTCTCAACACTCAACTCCTCCTTCACCTCAGGCACTGGTGGAGGCACTGGTGGAGGTGGGGCTGCAACCCTCTTCGAAGGTGTAGGCACCTCCTCACGCTCTGAATGCACACTCCCTGAACCCTCGCTATACTCGTAGGTGTAGCTTTCTTCAGGATCCGGTTCTGCGACCGGGGGTGTACTCTCTTCTCTTCGAGGAGCGGGAGGTTGAGGAACTGGTGGTGCACGTACGGGTGGTTCTCGACCTGGAGGTTGTGGCTGTGACTTTGGTACAAGGCCCAAAGATGGCCGATCCCTGCCAAGCTCACCCTCACCTCCTGCAACCACCGGCGCAAGCCTCAGGGAGAGGGTGCGCAGAACTTTCACCTGCCGCGCGGCGTCCACAAGGACTTCCGCAGCAGCCCTGCGGAGTTCCGCGCAGTTCCACCTCCCCTTCAACTCAATCAAAATATTCTCCTGCGCCGCGCAAGCCGTGCACCACGAATCGCCCGAGATCGAAGGTCCCTGTCTGCACTTATTGCAAACAGCCCGACCTTCAGCAGCCATGCGCAACCCAGCTATTAAGCCACAATTGCGGCAAACAACGTGTATCACCCTATTCTTCTGAAGAATTCATTGCAGAAAAACGCTGCGCCCATCCTCCCACCCATCTTCCAAAAGAAAAACCCGCGATCAGGCCTTTCTGGCTAGCCGCTACACCAAGCCCACCCTGACAGATCGTCGCTAAGATGGTCGACGATTTGAGTGGTTCCACGATGGGAAGCACGCATCCACCAGTGGCAAGGGGCACGTGCCGGTGGTAAGAGGTCAAGAGTATCCTGAGACATGTTGTAGTTTTAATCACAATCCTTATAGGGTCTGTCTACAATCTCTTTTGAAAAAAGACTTGAAGATGGCTCTGCCCTCATTCCAACAATTTGAGCATCGTACCTGTCAAGAAGTGACTGCTGACGTTTAGAGGCTCTGACAGAAATACAATTTTCACGGCCCGGATTGAAACCAAACACAATGGCACACGCACCAAATCGGCATCAAAAGCCACTTCGAACGCAAACGAGGCGCCGCCTTCCGGGCGGCACAAGCTGCTGCGACCGCTGCTGCAGCGGCAGAGGCAGCGGTTGGGGTACCTGTGCTTTAACAGTTTTAAAGCTTAGCATGTTTCAGCTTTCCAAAGCTTAGCTGGGTCGAGGTCTGAAAAACCGTCACCATCACCTTGGCACCGCCTTAGCACCACCCCCACTTCCACAACTCTTGCGAAAACAGGCTGGACAACCAGTTCCATCCTCCTAGCTGGGCCTAGGAGCCGAAGACCAGAACACCTCATGGCTCGGTCCTCCCAGGACGCCCTCCCAACCCGACGCCGTCCTTCTCGCGCAGAATGGGAAGTGGCTTCCGGAGGGGCCAAGCCAGCCTCGCTATTCATTGGACGTTGCATGGTCTTGGCAAGTCACTTGACTATTAAAAAAACTTGTGGATCTGAAGTGCCCGGACAACAGTTGTGGACAGTTGTGGAGGTGTTCTCTTCTGGTTCAGTGTTTCTTTTCGCACCTCGGCCCAGAGTGCGTCCACCTCCGCAGTGAGCGTGGACGGCTCACCGGACGTGTCGAGCGTGGACTGCTCGGCCCACTCGGCCTAAGGCGCACGGAGTAAGGCGTAAGCCGTGTGGGGGAGTAGGGAGTCGTCCGTGTCGACCTTGTGATGGTGGGAATGGATATAGACGGTTATTTGTACTCCTCAGAGTAGGTGACACAGGAATTTACCAGTGACATCCGGTGAATGACCCTGTTTAGGCCCACCAAGTTGACGAACCCACCCAGGAACTGGCAGCAGTTGGAGAGGGGGACCTGCCTTCATGGAGAGGCGGGCCGGCTTTGAGTTGGCCAATCACTCACTCACCCTCCGACTCACGTGCCACATGGGAGTGGAGAAAACCACCTGTCTGTAAAAGGGAAAGTGTGGTCTTCCAAGGGTCTCACTTCCATGTTGAGTCGGTATAAGGTCATGCAGGCGTCCGAGCTCCTTCTCCCACCCAATGATGTCGCGTGCCGATCGCTTCTCACACCCAACCAGGACCATCGACCGTCTCTGTTGGTGACCTTTGGGGTCTCTGTTAACCTTCGTCATCCGATCTCGGTTCCTCCGTCACTTTGAAGGTCCTGCAGCATGGTCATTTAGACTTTACACGACCTTACCCTAGCCTTCGAAGACCATTCAAACAATGGTTGACCTGGTGGTGTAGTGACAGTGTAGTGTAAACATCCTAGTAAAAACCATGGTACATGACTATATACTGTGCACATCTTTGCTCCATCCAAACCGCATCCCACCGCTCTTCCCCCCCACGCCATCGATCTCCACATCGCCCAAGCCGCTGCTTCACTGATGGCACCCAGCGAGCCCTGGGCCTGGGCGGTCGCCGCTGCCCTTGCAGACTGAACTCGGCACTGGTACCAACTCCGGCCGTTTGCGGCCGTTTGCGTTCATGGTCTACAAGTTCCTATGGTCCACGTGGTTTCCAGACAAGCCTTGGGGGTGGTGTTTCCCAAGACTAGATGCCATGTGGAAACAAATCTACGCATCGATCGTGGAACACCAACACCTCGGTCGATTCGATCGAGTTGACCAGTTCCATCCCCGGAACTTCCGTTTTGACTCACTTTACCCCCACCAAGTCATAATCCACCACTACCATGATGCGTTGGAGTAACATGAGTCAAGCTTGGCATCTCATCAGTTTTCACCAGATTCCTTCCCACCGCGCCTTCTTTTTGGGCCGAGTCGTTTTCGCCTTGGCCGCTGCAGGCCTCGTGTCCACGGTCGGTTTCGATCCACCGACGTCCGCGCCGCTGCCGGGCGCCTGGTGCGCGGCCGCGCTGGAAGGCGGGTGGGCGCCACTTCCACCATGAGTCCGTTGGAGCAAAAGATCTCTCTGTGGATGAGGATGGATCACAACGGCCACTTCTGGATGTTCACTCAAGAAGGCCATTAATAGATGTATTTAGATATGATATATATATATATCTTATTATATATACCAGCACCCTCCAACAGGTCACCACCTGCGACTTTTAGGTCAGCAAAAGCCTCCAGAGGAGACCTGTTGGAGGGTGTTGGTATATTTATATATACATTTTCTATTTTTTTAAGACCATTTTAGGTTGGAGGCCATTGTTCTTAGGTTGGAGGCCAATGCTCTTAGGTTGGAGGCCATCGCTCTTAGGATCCGCTTGGGGTTTTAAGACCACGACTCATACAGAATACTCCAAGGTCTGGTATGGTCTGCTTGAATCACTGTTCACGGAACGGTCGGCATCTGCAGTTTGGTGGTTGCAAACGGTTGCAAGTGTCCTTTGCCTCTCGGCCCTCAAAACACATGTGAGCACATGGTGCTTTGTCGCGTGATGGTTCAAAGTTCAATGATCTATCGCATTGATCGGACTAAACCAGCAGTGAATCCGTCAAGAAAAATCTGCTCTTCCAATGATTCTGGCTGACTCGACTGCTGTGACTGAACGGCGACGGACCCCACGTGCCCGAGAACGGCGAGAGCCTCGTCCCCGTGAAGACTGGGTTTCAAACAAGGGGAGCCCCCAAAGCGGTGGGGAGAGTTGGAGCATCCATGGATCCACATTTGGTAGATTCAAAACCGATGAAGAAACATGTATAAACATGTTATGAACACCTACCGTATTTAAGATTCTTGCAATTGGATGCAAACGAAACATGGCGTACAGATGCGCAAAGCTTGACTGGTGAAATTGTGAGTTGATGCAACTCCAGTTTCCTCTTTGCACTTGCAACATAGTACTGGATGCCGCATGATGCCACCATGAAACATAACGGAGCAGCTACTTGTGCAGCTTGTTAGGACATTGAAAGCTTGGCACACTTGCAGGCCTACCATTCAAAGTTCTAATGCCTTCATGCCAAGTCGCAGCCTTCCCAAACACCACCCGCTTCGCAAGTTCATAATCACCCCAAAGATCCCCACAGGGTGTGCAAACAGCTCGTCTGGAGATCAATAGGGTTATGATCCCAAGCTGGCGCTGGCAAGATTCGTCTGCCGCTGCTTTTCCTCCTCATTGACCTTTGCTGCTCGTGGTCGGCTTCGGGATGAGGCTCTGGTCGCCAGAAAACATGGAACACAACAGGGACATCTGCGAAAGGTTGTTGAGATTGAGATGTGGAAGGACACGGAGCCTCAATGCAGAAGCGAGGCACGCAGCATCGCATTCTAATTCAATACTGGAGGCTGAACATGTGGAGCCAAATGGTTCTAGTAGCATTATCTGTTTGATGACAAAGTCCATCTCACAAGGCCGTTGCACAAAGTGAAGAAAACATGAGAAAGCCTCTTTGCACATGAAGACATGACCGGCCTTGACCGGCCTTGACCATTGATTCTACGCGGCAGAACTCCATTAAGGCCCCAACATCAGAAACTCAGCCACTCGGCATAACCAAGTCTTGTTTGGTGCATGTTAGCACAACACCTGTGCGTCAGCTATATACACCTGCCTGAATTGTTCGTTAAAAGTTCGGGCCAAGGGAGCACGACCACTGCGTGTGCGAGCGAAAGCTGGGCTGCCAGCGACCCCCTTGTGGCGTCTTTGTGGCGTTCTCTTGAAAAAAAAGCAAACGAACAGATCCGTCGGCTCTGAGAAGTCCAGTGTCACTGCCGGCTGTCCGTTGGTGGAGAACACCTGCAATGTGTAAATGACCCCTTTCGACCCAAAAGACCCGGACATGTCCGCCCTTCGTCGTCTAAGACGAGGCCGAACGGCCGAACGGCACGCACCGTATCGTTGGCACAACAAAATGGTTGAAGAGTTCGTTTGAAGCCCTTCTGAAATGATTCCAAGACTGTTTAGGAACTTCCTTTACCGCCGAACTGGACGAAACCGTGGGAAACCATGGGAAACCCACCGCATTTGGATTAACACCTCTTCCTTCATATATCTCCATATCAGTTCTGCTTAAAAATCGATGCAATCCCGCTCAACAAGGAAACCTGGCAGGAGTCTGAATAATCCACCTGAAATTCTCCTCTTTTTGCCGTGCTCCATTGACTTTTACCGGCCGATCATTACTGGCCAACGACGGTGTGAGGAGCTGTGTAGTTCCATCTGCTTGCCAAAGAGGTATGGTAAAGACCTTGGTAAGCGACAAATTTTTGGAGGTGAACCAGCGGAGAAGGCTGCACGGGAGGCGGAGAAGGAATACATGTCTAGCTGCAAGGAGAACAACTGGGAATTCACTCAATGCCTGGCCATCAACAGCATGAGAATTGTTCTGTGCAGGGAAAGAACATGTCACGGGTCTGCGTCTTCTCACGCCTCATGCGATCAGCCCAAGATCCAAACGCATGTCCTGAGTGCTTCCCGGTAGGCCTGATCGAAGCTGTGCGGCCAGCTCCCTTTGTCTGATCACTGCAACTCACATATAACATATTGACTGAAATAATATGACTCATATTAACAGACTCAGAGTGACAGTGACATGCGAAGAACCTGGTTTAGAACGTACTTGAATGTTCCAACTGCCAAAACAACAAACGCTCTCTTCGCAGTGGAATTCGGTAGGTCCCCCCAAGACCCCCGGACTCAGAAGTCAGGTCGAGGCGAGGCAAGCTGAGGCGATGGTAATATATTGACTAGAAGCAATGGCCTCTAAGCTAATAGAAAAACACACTCCATGTATGCCACATATGCCTATTGACCCCTCAAACCAACCTAATAGAAAACATACGAAACACATGGTTTAAAACAAAAACACCGGATTCTTTCCAGTGACCAGACTTGATCCCCTGCATGGTTCACCAAATGCCACAAACAGGCCTGGTGTGAGGTCCTGAGGTCACAAACAGGGACACCACACCTTTGAAGAACAGCTAGAAACTGAAGAAGCTGGACGATGTAGTTCCGAAAAATCTGAGTTGTGAGGGGTCAAAGCCTAGAATTGATTGAGCCAAATTGAAAAACACATCGTGCATCCGTAGATCTGGTCTCATCATACCGCTTCAGTCGGCTCTTCTTTTTGAAGTGCCCTCCTTGCACAAAATGGATCTCTCGATTCCTTCAACAAATAGGACAGAACATGAAACAACATGAAAGAGCCCATGTTGGTGTGTTGAAGCCCCGCCATCCTGCTATGAAACATCATGAAACATCTGATCCAACCTCGCTCCACATCACATCTCGATCCGCATCTCGCGCCTGTCACCTTTCCGGTCACTGACTGGCTGAAAAGATCTTTTTGGAGCCTCAAGGGGTCGAACAGCCGCCGCTGTTGCATTGGGCCGATGGCTTTGGCACGGCTCTGGCGTTTCAGGCTCTGGCGCGTTCTTTGTGGTTTAAGGACTTGGGCGCAGGTTTCCACGGAATCCGCCGGCTTAGCCGGCGTGTTCTGTGGATGTTCCTGTTGCTGTTGTGTTGTAAGTCTTTCCTCTACTATGCCAAGACAGCACACACATCATCCTCTACGGCACTCCCGCATTCACCCTGCATCCTCGAAGCGTACGCCCCAAAGATAGATCAAGGCTGCAGCACGGAGCACCCTCCTCCTGCCATGCCTCCAACCTGTCCGCTAAGATGCCAAACTCTTCTATAGATAAACAACTACCCTGTGTTCCACTGCAGGCACTTTCTACCCCTTCTTTCCAAACCCGTGCTCAAGTTGCTACAAACATGTGTCTTTCATCTGCGTGTCTGCTTTTGTTTACCTTATGGCCTTGCTACATTTCCTGCGAGCCCTAGAAATCAGACAAGGCAGCACCACACTGCGGCACATTACTAACAACAGTGTGTTTCATCTGCCTTTAGCTCGACTCATGGCCTTTCCAACTTTCCTGTGAGCCCAGGCCATGAAACCGTGAAGAGTCACACTGCAATACATGACCAACCACGTTGCATGCAACCCAAAGGCACAAAGTACATGGCCACCTGGAAAGCCGGCGGAACACGCCAGCGGCGGTTCAATTTGAATGGATATTGAAGGCCAAGGATCAAAAGGGGAAGGTGAGGCACGCCCTCCCTGCTCTCGGCCCAAATGTTAGTCCTCTGGTGGCCCACAAATGCATACAAATGCTGCGATGCACCTAATTGCTCTAAAATGTTACCCTCAGGTGGCCTACAAAGAGTGTGCTTCCTGTTCTAAATCTTGACATGTTCCACAAAATATATACAAAAGGTTTGCTGCAAGTTGGAGTAGTGACTTCCTTTTGTTTGCTTCTATTCTACCCGGATGGCCCACAAGACTCCACTTGCACCACATCAGTGTGTTGCTCCCTTCCGCTCCACATGGTCTCAAGGGACCTTACGTACCACGAAATGGCCACAGGGAGAACATGAGGCGACCAAAGGGGACCAAGGGGGCCGACCAGGACATCAAGGGACCAGGACACCAAGGGAAACGATACGCAGCAAATCTATTTTCAGAGGATTCATAGGTATCTGCAGTATCCCATATGGCCATCCCACCAATCTCTGAGAATCAGACTTGCTTTGGTTGGTACCTGACTCTTTTCGCAGGTGGCCAAAGTCATTCACCAAACCTCAGCCGCTTCGCACGCGAGGCGCCTTGACCTGCTGGGTGCAGTGGGCGACGAAACGCACCAAACGACGCCGCGGTTTCCAACGCTCGGCTCAAAGCACCCAGCAGTGTTAATGGGCAAACACCCCACTGAATTGGCCAACATGGGGCAATAGATGGGGTCAATAGGATGGGTCACTTGGGCAGCAGTCTAAAAACATCTGGGGGTACACCCAAACAAGCCAATTCTGGTTCCAAAAGCCTCTCATCCATCATCCTCTATCCCTCTAACATGTCCGAGCGTCTTAGCACTCGTCTGAGCCTATCTTCGACCCTTCCCGAAGATAGCTCCCCACAAGAAAATACCAAACACATGCCCCGTCCCAGTCCCACATAGATGTTCCACACACACAAAAAAACA